CTTAGCCCCTAGACCAGTGATGGCGAACCTATGACACGCGTGTCAGAGGTGACACGCGAACTCATTTTTTTGGTTGATTTTTCTTTGTTAAATGGCATTTAAATATATAAAATAAATATCAAAAATATAAGTCTTTGTTTTACTATGGTTGCATATATCAAAAAATTTCTATATGTGACACGGCACCAGAGTTAAGTTAGGGTTTTTCAAAATGCTGACACGCCGAGCTCAAAGGTTTGCTATCGCTGCCCTAGACATTGAGTAGTGCATCTCCAAGTTCCTCCAGGTGGCTCTATTGGACAGAACCCAGGACAGTCCCCATACTGGCTCATTCCAAGGAGCATGCATACATCCCTTGCCTGGGACTGACGTGGGTCCCAAGGCAGCAGCGCCCTTCTGATTCTGCCTCCAAAGCAGTCAGTTCTCTTGCTTTTCAGATTCCCACCTGGTAGGAGTGAGACTCTGGCCAATGCCAATTTCAACTTTATCAAGAGTCGGTTGGGCGCCAGCCTCTAAGTCTCAGCCTCAGGAAACACATCTGCTTTCTGAGGGATCTTCTCCCCTTAGCTCAGGGTAAGAGGGTTGCACCTCCTCCCAACTCCTTGAGAGCAGGAGGGCTTGGCAAATAATACCATTCCTCCATCCCCAGAAACCTCTTCTCTGATTTTTTTCATTTTCATTTCCTGACACTTTTTTTCTGTCCTTGATATAGCTGAGAAGTCCCAGGGGGAGCCCTCAGGTTCTTGGGAACATTTACTTTGAAAATCTTCAGAACATGGTTTGGCACCTTTCTTTGGAATTTTGTTGTTGTTAATCCTTACCCGAGGTATTTTTCCATTGATTTTTAGAGAGAGTGGAGGGGAGGGGGTGAGACAGAGAGAGGGAAACCTCACTGTGAGAGAGACACGTCTATTGGTTGCCTCACACATGAGCCCCTACCAGCACCAGGGATTAAGCCTGCAACTGAGGTACGTGACCTTGACTGGAATTGAACCCGGGACCCTTCAGACCACAGGTTGATGCTCTATCCACTGAGCCAAACCAGCTAGGGCAGAATTTTACATCTATTATTATTGTTGCCTGGTGGAAATTTCAGTTAAGATCCTATTACACAAGTAATAAACAAACATGATTCATGGGCCAATCTTTGAACCACAGTCCAGTGGTATAACATCTGTCTCTACTAAATATTTTGAGTGTGTCATGTAAAAAAAAAAATCGGGAACAACTCTCCAAAGAGTCTTATTTCATCTTTGACCACTGTGTTATTTAGCACTTGTTAAATAGAGCTGTAATAGAATAATTTGGAATGAAATACCTTACTGAGTGGATATTTTTTATATGGTGTAGTTTTATCCCCAAGGGCATCAAGTGGTCTTGACAGCTAAGACCTCATCCAGCACAAGAAAGGGGTAAGCCCTCCGGCTGTACAAGAGGCTAGGAAAGAAAGTGGCTTTGCAATCCTGAGCTGCTAGGAGACAAACTATCCCAAATTAACTCCCTCACCAGCTGATCCCTCTAAACCCAGACTTCATAGGCACCATAATAGCATGTTTCAGCGAGGTCTGAAGGGAGGAGAGGGCGGTGGATGGTTCTATTTTCTGAGGTCAGGATATCCTTACAGGGTTGCTTGAGTCCAAAGCAGAGAGAAGGGAAATAAATACCGGTCTTTGGTCCCCAGATGTAACATAACCAAATCGTATGTGTTGCTGGTTGGTTCTGACCTTTGCAATTAAGATTGAGAGCCAGAAAGACTCTGTATTGCAGGGGTTTTCTCCATTTTGTTTGTTGTATAAAACCAGGGTGGGAAATAGTTGAGTAAAATCCAAGAGCGTTTCTTTAATTTCACTTCTCCGGAGACCTGAATATGAAACGGAAAGGCACTTGCTTGGTGTTTGATTTGCTAAACTGGTGAGTCTAAGCGGCTGTCTCTTAGCCTTTTTGAAACTGTAGCCTGTTTTGGTGCTCACCCGTTTCCTGAAAGAGTCTGATTCTCTCCCTCCTCCCCACCGTGCAGCCTCCTTGAGATTTATATGCTTTGTGAAGTTATGGCATCAGAGAAGATGTTATCAAGCTTTAGTTTCTATAGTTTTTGTTGCACAAACAATAAACATTTGTTGGCCTTCCAAATATATAAGCGTGATTACATAATTGGATGTGCTTTTTCACTCTACATTACACCTTCTCATGCTAATGTATCACTATTAGTACAAAACGCCTGGCAATTTCAGAGAGCCCACAGATCTCCTGAAGCTCATGCGTGAGCTCTCCAGGGACTGTTTCTCCCAACCCTACATGACCTCATGGACTCTTTTTCCATCCTGTTCGATGTCTTTAACACTGTTAGAATCAATTTTAGAGTTGTAACTGGACTTAGTGATCACCTAGTCCCATCTGTGAATTTTATGGACATGGATTCCCAAAGAGTTTAAGCAATTTTTGCCAAGTTACACCACTATGTTTGCACCACAGACCCTGAGCAAGAACTCAGCTCGCTGAATTCCCTGCTCAATATTCTTTCCACTAGATTTTCAATTGCTGCATCTCCCCTACTTTATCCCATCCCTTTTAAAGATAGCAACCAATGCTACAAAACAAACAAATGCCAGTGTAGCAAAATCTGCAAAACTACTTTGTAGTATTCATATACTAATATCAAGCTGCCTTTATATTATAGTATCTCCAAAGCTGAGAAAATACTTATTCAGTGGATATGAACCCACCTTTTTTGCCAAGTACTGTAAATGATACAGAAGAAAAAATATGTAACCCTTAACTTCTGAGAGTTTAAAATTTGTTGGGTAGACAGACATGGTTCATATTCAGCTTGTGGTCAACTGTGACCTCTGGAACCTTTTAAAATACATTTGTAATTAGTGATTTCCAGCCCTCCACCACTACCCTATAACTTATTCCTCCTTGAATTCTTCTGTAGTTCATTTATAGCAAGAACAATTTGTGAGATTGGAAGAAATATAGAATAATTCAAAGATCATTTGTTGGTAAATTTAGTTACTAATAACATGGAAGCTCAAACAACAATAACAGATAGGTAGTTTTGTCATTTTTTAGATGGGGAAACTGAGGCTCAACAAGAACATGGGACTTGTTCAGGACTGCTCACTTGGTAGTAGATGGAGCGGAGTCTTGTAGCTGAAGTTGCTAGTGTTAGAGCCCATAGGCCTAATTCCAGTCCATGCTGGCAAGAGTATAATAAAGTGGGTAAAAGCAAGTAGGGCAAAATAGGCTTGTTAAAAATTGTATTTTTGGCCCTAACTGGTTTGGCTCCATGGATAGAGCATCGGCCTGTGGACTGAAGGGTCCCAGGTTCGATTCTGGTCAAGGGCATGTACCTTGGTTGCGGGCACATCCCCAGTTGGGAGTGTGCAGGAGGCAGCTGATCAATGTTTCTCTCTCATCCATGTTTCTAACTCTCTATCCCTCTCCCTTCCTCTCTGTAAAATATCAATAAAATATATATTTTTTTAAAATTGTATTTTTGTCACAGTGAGGTTATGAACACATCAAATTAGTTGACTGTGAGAAGCTTTTGAACATGCCAACTTTTTTGTGTGTCCTTCCTAAAGCTGTGTGAATTTCTATGTGAGCAGGGGCCTTACCACTACAGGAGGAATCCACAGAGGTAGGTGATGGATGGGCCATGCTCTCTCGAGATACCTTTGTTTAATTCACGTCTCACTTACCTAAGAATGGGGCCTGAAGCAAGAGTAAATGCCAGAGACATTTGGTCTCAGGACCTCAGGAGAGAAAAGGAATATAGGCTTTATGATTGTTATCTAAAAACTAGTGGCCCAGTGCACGGATTTGTGCACATTGAAAGGAAATTAATTAGAAGAAAGATTTGTGCGGTAATTACATTACTGCAAAAAATTACATGTCAAAATAGTATATATGATATAGTATTATAAAATTAAAATACAAATTATTTTAATAGTAAATCAGACTCAGGGCCAACAGTGCCCCAGTAACAACATAACCCACGGCCTAAGGTGGAATCGCATGGGCCCTGCGAGAAATGGGGCTCCCTCCTCTCTGGTTCCGGAGTGCGTCACCCGAGAACTGCCGCTGCCAAGTCAGCAGCTCCTGCATTGAGTGTTTGCCCCTGGTGGTCAGTGTGCATCATATGTACCAGCTGGTCGATGGTCGGACAGTTGGATGGTCACTTAGCCTTTTATATATAGAGATAGGTTGCCAGGTCAGGAGTCTGGGAAAATGGGGCAACGAGACTGCAGATTTATTCTGAGGAAAAGGTTGTTTGCTAGGACCCACCTGTTAGAGTCAGGCAGTTTTTACAAGGGTGAACTTTGTTTGCTCAGGGTACTCTTGTCCCTAAGCCTTTCCCTATAAATCACTAGTGCACGGTGGGATAATGTCATTTTTTGTAGTTTTCCATGGAGATTGGGGGAAGGAGCAGTAAGGGATTTGATCAATCTATCCATATATAGGATAATTCAAAAAGTAAAATGCAGGTTGTTTTGTTTAAGCATTTACTTACATTGTTTATCCCTCAAGAATGTTCAAAATAAAACATTTTGTATGTTACAACCAGGAAGAAGAGGGAACATGTGAGCAAAAGATAAAAATATAGACATGCTTCAGCTGATTTGCATTTCAATGGAAGATAAAAGCAATAGACCATTCCCAAAACAATAATTCCATTTTTAAAAGTACTTGGTTTTCAAAAGCCTGGCATTGCATATTTGTTATTTTTGTTCCTATTTTGTTTGTAAAAGGTTTTAAAGGCATATGATGTAATGAAGTAAATATTATTTTGTGGTTGAAAATTAAATAGTTCTTTTGTATTTTGGTCTTGTGAGAATTGCAGTGTGTGTGTGTTATGGGGAGGGCAGCAAAGGAAATGAGGGGAAAACATTATAGCTCCTTCCTGTATATAATTATAAGCCATAATACCTCAGTAGTTTTTTCTCCCACTAGTTTGAGATAAAAATAAATAGATTTCCCCCCAAAATGTATTTTAGGGCCCTGTTAGCATCTCAGATGGAACCAACATTTGCCAGGAATGTCTTCCCTTGTTTTGATGAACCAGCTCTGAAAGCAACTTTTAATATTACAATTATTCATCATCCGAGTTATGTGGCTCTCTCCAACATGCCAAAGCTACGTAAGTAATGTTTCCTCTCTCTCTCTCTCTCTCTC